ATTACTTGCTCCTTACTGTTCATGAGCACCGACAAGATGACCGCTCCAGAGGCTTCCTTTCTTCGGAAGAAATGCTTAAATGCCATTTTCAGTAGTTTTAAAAACCTATCGGGGATACAGAGAGACATTTTGTTGTCTAGCATGTAGTTGCATTGCTCTCAGCAGAGGGATACCTCCTTAAAATGCCAGACAGAGCTAGGGACTTTGGAAAAACAGAACCGTGGCGAAGGACGGATGAGCGGGAGGGAGTTTATCTGTAACATCCTCTACAATGATGACATCTTCCTCTACGATGTGAATCCTCTTGGCACCTTAAGAGGCATTGATTGGTGACAATCTTTTCTCCATCCTCACCCTGCTTTAGCTGTACCTGGAGGCCGGCCTGGCATTGATGTTTCATACAGTCACGAGTTGATCCGTTGATCCCCAGAGCTGTGAGGCCGAGGTCGTAGGAAGGGTGGCTCCCCGCTCTCTCCACCACCAAGAGCTTGGAGTCCGTCCTGCTGCTTCAAGAAAGTCACTCAAAACCAACAGCTATTCAATACAACAACCTACAAGATTGTACTGCAGGAGTGTCCAAGAGATTTCTTGGAGTAAGTTAAAAATGAAGTGAACTTGGAGAGCTGGAGAATGACCTTGGCTGGTCAACCCRAATGTCCATCTAACCCAGCATCGTGCCTCCAGCAGCAGCAGATGCTTTGGGAAGAATAGGATGAGCGTGTAGGAACACTTGTTCGGAGAGTCCTCCCAGCCTTCAGTGACTCGTGACATGGCAGTTTGTGCATCTATAGCTCTAGGTGGCTTTTTCTTCCGTGAATTTGTTCAGCTGCTTTTGAACCCACGTAAGCTTTCTGCCATGAGTGCCTTCTCTTTCCCCGAGATGGAGAAGCCACATATTCATTCGAGAAGACAAGGTCAAGGAAATGCCCTCTGCACTGGAGTATAAAACGCCGAGGTCTGTGATGCTCGTTGGTCCTTGAAGGAATATTTGATTCTGAAGCTGCTCACCTGCCCCTGGGAAAATTATCTGCTTTTGGTCCTTGAGCAGCTGGGTCTAGATGGTGTCATTTATCTAAAGCTGTGAATTGCTTTAGGATAAATAAGCAGCATGTACTCCTTAAAAATGCTGTTTTATATTTCATGTCCTGTGTGGAATATTTTTTTTTTCCCAAATCCTGTTTTTATTTTGGAGGGTAGTGGTTAAAATACCGCACCTTCCTAGAATTCATCTGCTAATAAAAATAAATATTTGGAGCCAAATCCTGGAAGGAAATGTTAGCAATTGGAAAGCCCTTATGAAGTTTCTTAAGCTAATAGATGTAATGATACATAGATGTTATGGCATTTATGGGCAAAAGTGCATTGGAATAAGCACATTTATTATGACATGTTCATAAATCTTTTTATTTTGTCAGTAATATTAATGTCTCCAGTTCTCCGCTGCTGTTTTGCTGCAAGACAACTGTCATCAGAAAACCTTAAGCAAAAATTGCTTATGTAAGAGGAAAATGTCAGTGTCTAAAGTTGTTTTACAAAATTAATCCTTTCTTTCCCGTTTACTTACATCTACAAGTAGTGCTGCCATCGGTTTTTCAAATTCCTGTTTTTTTCTTTTATTTTTAAGGTTGTTTAGGCAAGCCAGGAATTCTCATCRTGCAGGAAGCAAGGAAATCTCCCTATTTATCAGAATCTTGTGTTCTGTTTTCCGACGTGATTTACAGCAAGACTTTTCAGTTGTACTTGAGAGTTATTGAGATATAATCCAATACTCCTCTTCCAGTGGAGCAAGCGCTAAGGCTGGTTCCTGAGAGCGGGGAATAGTATGGAAGTCCACCAAAAAACATGTCCTTTTCAGAGCGTTATGACCACCTTTTATGTAGAAGATAAAGTGGAGTGGCGTCACACAAACCTATTATTAGCAGTTGTTGATGATCAGCTTACATAAAGCGTGTGCTTTCAACCAAATTGAAATGTGAATTTTTTTTCTGGGCCACAGCAATGAAGTCTTGCACATCACAGTGCTTCTCTTTTTCAGATAGTAGCTATGCTATTTGGTAATTGTCTGGAAACGTGGTGGCCTCTTCCAACTGAGGCTGTTCTAGCTGTGGGAGAATGAAGCCAGCTCCTAATTTTACTGAGCTGACGCAAAGGCAAAATCCAGGTAAAGCCACGGATCATTAAGAGGCTGCTTTCTTTTTGTTGCCTCTTCACTTCAGAGCATCCCCACTAATGTGAAAAGCAGTATGGTGTTGCTCATTTCTTTATGGAGTTATATCTTTCATTAACCAGGCTTTGCTTCTGCTTCTGYGACGCTCTCCAGTCATCTTGATCCTTGGCTGCCAAGTCAGATTGACCTTTCTTACGGTCAGATCTTGGGGTTTTTTTCCSTGTTGCAGTCCTGTCTGTCCATCTTCAGCAATATCCCCACCGTTTTAATTGTCTTGACTGCAGCCTATTTCCTTTTCTGTCACTTTGTTTTAAAATCAGCTTGATATCTCCCATCTTACAGAGAACTCAGCCTGGCAGCCTGCAGGCTTCTCATGTGTTTCATGAAATTCAATGGCTTTCCAAACGCATGAAGATATTATTATAGACTGATTAGCTGAACTGCACTTTGGTACCAAATGTGACATTTTTCTCTGGTTCTAATTTTGTCAGATTTTGTGCAGCGCTCGAGGCTAATCCCGGTCTCAGCCTGCCCTCATCTTTGCCGGCATTGACTTGTCTCCTTCGGTACAAAGCAATCTCCTTCCTCTGTGACTCTTACTACTTTTCTGGTTTTGACATTAAGTGATTTTTATCATAAGGATATTTAGAAAATGTTTCTTTTTTTTTTTTTTTCCTGTTTTTTTGACTGTGTTACCAGCTCAAGTGCTTCCTGTTCTGGTCCCTCAGCTGCAGCTCTGTAGCCTCATTGGTAGTTAATAGAACTGCTGGTGAGGCCGCACAAGCTGAAGTAGATGGAATGGTTTGAAAATAACCCTGCAGAGAAACACATATACGGACTGCACCTTTATTGCAATGCATTTCCAGGCCAGCAGCATTATCATAAGCACACTGAATCTGCCGGTTACACAATGTTTTCTGAAGAAACTAAGAAGATTAAGTCTGGGTGATCAGTTGCTAGCTTTGCAACTCATGCATCAGCCTCATAGTCCCCTTTAAAAACATAACTGGATATATCACCTGCCTACCAGTATTTTTTCTAATTAAACTTTAAGGTAATATTAACGTAGGGTAATGGAACTTGTATTTATTGTGTGCTACCCATTCAGCTTATGTCAGAAGGTAACCTGCCTGTTCAGCACCCACGTTTTCCTGCTTGGTGAGTTCACGTTGCTTTGCTGGTGGTTTAGTCCTGCCCAGTAATCACATTGAGCCACGTCCTGGCAAGATCTGAGGTGCCTCYTCTTACATTTCCCCCCCCTGATACCTGAGGACGTTGAGTGACCTGTGCCCACACTCCAGGCAGCAGTGAAGTTTTCCCTCCTCTTTCCCCTGGTACTTTTGGCATTTAGCACACACTGGTATCTATTGATTTTTGTTGTCAAATGGATTTCTGTCTTTATCACTGGCTGCTGAGGGGCTGGCTTTCAGCCATTTGGTGAAGTTGCTGTGGTTTTTAGCATCAACATCTCAACATCAACGTTTGCTCGAGTGTCSGGACAAAGAAAGTGGATTTCCAGAAAGTTATTTCCTCTGGGCAAGGCATAAAGCCTGCCCAGATGCAGATACCATTCTTGCATCGCAGCATGTAAGAAACGTGATAAACGTCGCTGTTATCTGCAATCCACAGGCGTTTCCACTTGTTAAGCCTGACGTGATATCTGTCTTGCTCGTTTTGGCTTGTTGCACTATTCCTAGACTTTTTAGGCCATTCTGCTCTTGCCCGTCTTGTGGGAACACAATTTTGTAGCTTCCTAGACTTGATATGGCCAAAATAAACCCAAGCAGGTAGCGCTAGCTCTAGAAACTCTGTCCAGTCTTCACCTTGTTGTCACCACAGCAGAGCTTCCCCAGCACCAGCACAGCTGCTGCTCCGCAGGACTGCATCTCCCACGTGGATTTATCTGCCAAGTGTGCTGGAATTGTTTGCTGAGGAGCTGTAGGCGTTGGAGTCTAGTTATTTTTCTTCCCCTGGTTAAAAGTGTTTACAGATGGCTAAATTGGATAAAACAGAATCAGTCTGCAGTCTGAGACAAAGATTGAAGTTGTCATAAGAATGTTGCCTCTGGACAAAGCACATGATAACATCGATCTGCAAATAAAACAGTAATTGTGCATGTTGATTCCTTGGTGGTAGCCTTCTCATCTGCTCTACCAGGCTGCAGTAGTGTCTCTGCAACGTCTTCCTCCTGTCCACAGATCATTTCTGGTTAGTTTTTGTTGTGAGGAAGTAATGAGAGTTCTGCTGAACAAGTCAACCATGAGCCAGCAAGGTACCTTGAGGCCGAGAAGGCCTGGGGTGCATGAGGAAGATGTTGCCAGCAGGTTGAGGGAGGTGACCGTCCCCCTCTGCTCAGCTCTGGTGAAGCCACATCTGGAGCCTATGTCCCCTTATRGGCTCCTCAGTACAGGAGGGACATGGAGCTGTGTTTTAGGTGACCCTGCTTGTGCAGGGAGATTGGAGTAGGTGATTTCCAAGAGGTCCCTTCCAACCTCAGCCCTTCTGTAATTCAGCGAAGCTTCCTGTTTCTATAAGCTAGGTAAATAGTAGGATGGATTGAACTGTTTGCCTTTAAATGGATTTTGAATGGGCTTTCATAAAACATGCACCCAGCTGGGTGCTTATCTTATTGCAGTCATCACTGCCAGCAGAGCCATACCTGCAACAGGTCTATGTTGTGTAGTAGGAAATTACTCTTTTTAGCAAAGTACAGCTTAGTACCAAATCGCAGCAAAGATAAAGCAAGGCTTTTTTGTTGTTTATTTTTGGTTTGGCTTCATTTTCCAGTGTAAGCAGTACTTGTACATTACTTATGAAAGCTCTCTCGTTTCAGTGACAGCTGATGAGTTGTGGAAAGGAGCTTTGGCAGAGACTGGTGCGGGAGTAAAGAAAGGGAGAGGAAAGAGAAGGAAGAAGAAGATAAGGAAGAATCTCAACAGAGGCCAGGAGATTGGTGAAGGTAGATCCACGAATAAGAAATATCCTGACTATATAATTTGTGTTTCTTAGTTTTATAAACTTACAAATTTCTATTTATTTCCATAATGTCAGAGCAGCTTTAGAGCTATTTGTCTTATTAAAAAAGAAAATCCTAATGTGGTTGTTTGTGTTTTTAAATATAAATTCTCTATCACAGAATGTAGTTTAAATGCATGAGCATACTACCCCATTTTACTGGATTTTCACTGTGTGCAGAGTTTCATTCCTACTTTGGAAGAAGAAGTATTTTCTTTCTTTGTTTTCTGTCTTCAAGGACGTTCTGGTTTGCTCTGGCCTGGTCTTAATGCTCCTGTGATACAAAGTGGAAGAGTCCAAGCAATTACCCAGCGRAAGAAAGAAGAACGAGAGAGAATTCAGTCTGAAATTGTTCAACAGAGAGATACATGGGAGAAGAAGAGAAAAATAAAAGTTAAGAGAGAGGGTGGTTGGAGTGGACATTGTTGGGGAGGTGTCCTCCTGGACCCCCCTGACCCGGGTCCCAATGGAGGTAAGCAGGCTGAATATTGTTCCAGTTTTRTTTGATCTTACTGATTTAAGGGCCTGGGAGAAAATAGGATCCAGACACTTCCTGCAGGGTCTAGACTTTTCCTGCAATTAAAAGATCTGTACTTACTCCCATACATAAACCAAGGCAGCTAAATCCAAGGACAAGCTGTGTTAACATGGATGAAATGTTGGTAATTACTGCTTAGTTCGATGTAGCTGTTATAGCCATTTTTTGTTGTTGTTCATTTAATGGTGTACAAGTTAAACATATATGTACTTGGAATGTAGCTAAGAGGTGTTCCTTATTTATATGCTATCTACTTTAATCTCTTAGTGAAATTTAGTAAAACTACAGACTAGGAATGTCCTCTATATAGACTCAGAAGGGAAACTTTTTGTTAGGAGTGTTCTTGAGATCTCTAGAAAATCTATGGTAGCTTTATTTAACATGAGAAAAAGGAGTGCCTTACAGCCGATTAAATACAGAAGGAGTTGCTGCTCATACTCAGCTGGAGCAGTTAACAATGTTTGTATTTTTAATGTCATCCTTAGGCTTTTGTTTTTAAAGGAAGTGATATAAGGTGAGGTAAGATAAAGGARGTGATAAAGTGAGAGAAAGTGAGATAATTCACTCTACATATTTTCTAGCACTGTTGTGTCAGGTTTGTTGAAGACTCCTGCACTCTTTTAGGAGTTAGGCTTGGTTGATTATTTTCAGAGTTCATTGTGTCTAGCAGCATGTTCTCCCAGTAAGAGTTTGGATCGTGCTGCCACAGGACAAACCTTAAATGGGGAATTGCATGTGTGGAATCAGAATGATACYGGTTTCTCATCTTTTTTCAGTAACACTTGGTCCTCAATCTGCCTGGTGCTTTGTTTATGAGTTTCTGCCTGTGAATATTTTCTGGTAATACGCTGTTGCAGCTGGATTCAAAATTCCACGTGTGTCTCATGCCGGGTTGTAAGGAAGAGAGAACATTATCTTTTTAGTGCGATTTAATGCTGTTGTTCACACAGACTGAAGTTTATAGGCATTTTTTGCAGCTTTTGCTTTTGTAAATTCATGTCACTTCACTGTCTACTTCTCCCCTCTTTCCCCTCTCCCAGGTTTTCCGTTCTTATAGCTTTATGGCTTATAAGTTTTGTGGCTTATGTCACAGTAACATCTGAGTTATGTTGTTTCCCTGTGACTTATCTTGTGGATTTATAGGGAGCCTGATCTCTTTGGGGATGTTATTTTGTCTTGAATTTTAAGAACATGCCRCTGTATTTTAATAGCAGCATAATACTGAAGTTATATAAATGAAAGGTTAGCTCTAGCTGCTCCCTTGCATTTCATTTGATTACCTTGAAAGCAAGTAGTTCATGAAAGCACTGACAGGAGGAGGGACTTAGCAGCCTGTCATTGAGTGAGCCGTGTCCTACAAGTAGAAAAATAGGTGGTTTGAGATGTTAATAAACTGTAGGGACAGAGAGGTCGCCCATAGAGATTGTGAAGTTTCCCTCCCTGGAGATACTGGAAAGGCACCGGGACTCAATCCTGGGGAACATGCTTTAGGTGACCTTACTTGATCTCCAGAGGTCCTTTCTAACCTCAACCATTCTGTGATTCTGTTTCATATTTCCAGTAAAGTTGGTGGTGGAATACAGAGGAAGTCCAGATTTCATAGTTTGAGATCTTTCACTAAAAGAGAAAAGTAAAAGACTGTGCTGGTAATTAAATTGGAGTACATTTTCAAATAGTTTATTCCATTAAAAGAAGGGACAGCTCTTTCAAACAACGTTTAGGCCTGTATGAGTTTCGCTCGCTAGGAGTTTCCTTGATTTTGGTATGGCTGATGCTGTTGATGTTGGGGTTGGTTTTCCATGTAAAGTTGAAATGCTGTCATTTTTGAGGTCAGCTGGAAAAGCCAGAGGACAGAAGGGCTTCATCAGTCCTGTGTATCCTGATATGCTGCATTTCACTCCACTGCCACTGATTTAAATTCAGTGTTATTTTTTGATGCTTTATTTATTGGTATTTATTCTTTCCATGAGAGCAATAAGAGGTGACTTCTTGTGTTACACGTTAAAAGGGCATATGTGGAAAAAGTTTGCTTTAAAATACAGATGAATTTAAAGCGTGTGCTCTCAGCGAACAAAGATATTTGCAGTTTATATTGAAGTGTTTGTGGAGTCTTCTGAAACGTCTTCTTCCTTTGGAGTCAGTGCTAATGACAGAGCAGAAATGCAATATCTTTTGGTGCCGTGGAAAGGAGGCGTCCGCTCCTTACGGTCGAATAAGGTGCCCAAGTGCAGCTCTCACCGCTGCTGCCACTGAAACACAGATGTGATGCTCAAGCAATCTTTATTTTGCAAGGCAGAAGCGTAAGCTGTCAATGGGTGAGAAAAAAAATACTGCTAGAATTGTGTTGATTGATTAGCAAGACATTTTTTCGAGCAGCTTTTGAAATGGAAACAGAAGAAAGAGTCGCAGTCTGAGATTCCTGGCTATTTGAAGCAGCCGTGGTTTGGGGTGTTTTTTCTTTTTCTGGATTTTCACAGAAATATTTCCAAAAAATACCTGCAATTTACTTGAATCCCTATTGATTATCTAATACAGGCTACAAAATATTCTAAGTAATATGAGATTTTGTCACCAGGAGGGAGCAATTGCTACGACSTATGTCCAAGGCAGCCACTGAAAACCCAAAATGTTTTCTTATCATAGCATGCTGTGGAAAACTGTTTTTCATAGCATTTCTGTTGCTGCAGAGAATTGGGAATATCATTTATGATTTAACAAAAGTATATCAGTATAAATGCTGAATTTTGCAGAATTCTCCATAAGAAAATTTGGAGAGAGATCTGTCTCATGGCCAGAATATTGGTCAGGTCCTCAGGACAGCTGGGATCGTTTATCAGCTCTTCTGTAGTTCTCTGTGCAATGATCAAGCAAACGGGTTAAATCTTTATATTTTCTTTACCATTTAGAAAATTAAAGCTTTTTTCTCTTTTTTCCTTCTTCACACACACTACTCTGGTTATTTAAGTTGGACATTCTTTGAAAACTATTTCCCTCTTTCTTCTCTGTGTATGGAATACCTTAAAAGATTATATATTGATTGGGGTTGAAGGTTAGAATACCTAGTAGCACCGTGAGCGTGTCTAACAGTTGTCACCTCTTAATTATAATGAGCAGTATTGTAATCATAACAAGTGCTATATTAGACTTYCTGGGAAGCTGGGAAGTTCATCATTTGAGCTGGAATTTTTAAAGCTTTTTTTTTTCCACAAATGTTGGTTTTTACGAAAGAAATGAGAAAAATGTTTTATTAATAAAGGCAGCATGTTGTTTTCTCAGTGATATTCTAAAGGAGAATGTACGGAGTGAAATTACAAAGTATATTTGAAATCCTTAAAAAGAAAGCAACTCCCAATACATATATTGAAATTCTTAGCTTTTCTTTTTAATATTGAGGTTAAWTTATGAGTTAACCATTATATAAAATTAGGACCTTTTAAAATTATACCACCTGTAGGGAGCTGTGCTGATAGATAATTAATGCACAGATAGATAATTAACACACATTAATACCTTCTTTTTCTCCCAACAGAGACATATGAAGACTTTGAAACAAGAGTCATTGAAGTAAGTGTTACAAAGTGCTCAAGACCTTCAACCTAACTATCGCTATTTTATATTGGTCTTAGACCTTATTAACCGGTCCTTGATAAGCCTTGATAAGTCTTATAGCATCAGGAATTAGTCCAGTATTCTATTGCATTTGTGGTGTTGAGCAACACAAGAAGATAATCCATTGGTAAAAGTCAAGGTGAGTGTTTTGCTGGAAAACAGAAAGTAGAATTTTGGTGTGATACAAAACATGTTTGTATTGCAGGTATGTTGACCCTTATTATTTCTCAAAAGTGCTGGAGAATGCAACTCATACCAAAGCAGACTATTAACAGTACYGGTCATTAACAGATATTTTGCCTGCCATTTATTTTTATTCACTTGCTTTGGAAGCAATGGCATTCGTGTAAGGATCATTGATGGGGGATGACTTCAGTTATAAATTGATTTCTTTGACTGTACAATTGATTTGTTCAAAGCTGGAGGATGTGCAGCATCCGGAAGGTGGCAGCTCTGGAAATGTGAACRATTTTTGCCCTCTTTCCCTGTTTATTCCATACCATTCCCCACTGACTGGTGGYGGTTGCCAGCTCATTTCCAGCTCTATCCAAGTCCATGAGTTTGTGATTTATGTTTTTTAAAGAGCTGAACTCCCACAATTTGGTTCTAATTCTTTTAAAAATGCATGGTGTGTTAAAAGGACTTGGTTTTTGCCAAAATAAGTTCAGACATTTGAAAAGAAAACCTTCTAAAGTGTAGCAAACGGACTGCTTCCAACTCAGGCCATCAGAAAGCATTAATACAAAGTTTTGGCTGAGCTTTCCCCGTTCAGAGGTATTGCTATTAATGGTGAAGAAGACACAGGGAGAAAGTCAGTGTTACTTGCAGCTTGCAAAAACTTGCTTGCAGTTTTTGGTAGGCTGAGATCTGAAAGCCTTGCTCAGGGCTTCACATGCTGAAGGCCAGCTCAGCAGCCTGCAGAGGCGGCCTGCTCCCCAGAGCAGGACACCGTGCTGCGTGTCTTCACGTGGGCCACTGGCTGGAGGAAGACTTTCTGGCAGAGCCTTCCTCAGGGTAGGTTGTCAGAACATGCTGCAGTTCTGGAAATCACTCAAATAAGACCTCGCTTTAAGGTGGCACTTTGGGCACCCTGTGTGGAAGAATGTAAGCATCCCATATCTGCAGCTGAATGAATTCCTGGGGATATTTTGTGGAAACTTGAGTTGCGCTTTGGTAAATTAATTGCAGTCCTTTTACAAAAACATTTGGTGGCACAAATCAGCCCAGTGGTTTTGCATTTAAAGTAATTGTGTAAACTTGTCACTTTTAACGTTTTTGTGCTGTTTACTTACCAACAGATGAAGCTGCTTATTAGGTTTGCACTCTGCTCAGGGTTCTTATCCAAACATTCATTTGCTATTAATATTTAACTACTACATTAGTGAAGAAAAATAGATGTTTAGTTGCAGCTTTAAAAAGAGCTTCCTTTCATTTCACATCATGATCTGAGAACCTGGGTATAAACCTGAATCAATGCATATTCTCTGATAAATACATAGTGGGTCTCTTTGTACGTATGAACGCCTGTACATGACCCTTTTATCACTGTAAAGTGACTTTTACTTAAGTTGTTATGCAGATATATTCTCTTCCTACTTAGCAGCACTAGGAGATAAAATGAGCCTTTTTTGTCTCCACCATGACATTTAACTTCCTGTTTTCTCTTTCTTCCTTTCTTCCATTCTTCCATTTTTTTATTCTTCCATTTTTACTGTCTAAAAGCCATTCTCATTTTTTATTTTTTCCTGCTCTGCTTGGTAGTGTAATTATTTTTAAAATAGTCAAATGCAAGTGTTGAAGGGCAGTCATTGCTAAAACCCTGAGGTGAAAGAAGCAGAACTCCTCAAGTGATTATTTTGGTCACGAAGAAAAGACTGTATGTATTTTCTCAGCTACTGGAACTAGCAGTCTCCTTTAACTTTATTTTTTAGCAGCTGAAGTGCAGTATCATCTGAGACTTTTTCACATATTCCACTTTATAATAAACCTTTTCTTTTGTGACTGTGATGAAAGCAGCATTGCTGCTTTGAATGAGCTGAGGCTTGTGTAAGATTGGAAATCCAGCTGTAGATTATCTGGTAGGATAAGGTGGCACGCTGAAAAATTGGGTAGGCAGAGTAGGACATTTTTCTCCTCTTAGTAATGTATTAAAAGAAAAGATAGGTCCTCAAGATGACTTCTAATTTACTCTGAATATACTTATTACTTAGCACATGGAGCGCCCGGCACCCTCAGAAACATTCATGTCCACTCAGTGCTGTCACAATTTGCAACACTAGCTTGAAAAGTAATGCTGAATTACAGGATAGATGAAGCAGTAAAATGCAAATGTGATCATTTGCAGAAGAATTTTACAAAATCCMGCCACTCGGTGCTTGCTGGATTGCTCTTCATGATATGCAGTGGGGGTAACTGAAAAGGCGGGTGAATATCTCACAGTCATGACCTCTTCTTTGTTCTTAAAATTTTCCTGCAGAGAAGACACAGCCTCGAAGTAAATAACCGTTTGTCACTGAGCACGTGTCTCTGAAGCTTCCAGATGCCTTCTGATGGTTGTGCGAGTGAACTGTGGTTTCAGCCCAGGGAAATTAAGGAAGTAGGAGGATTCCGGACCCTTTCAGATGTGGCTTTGCCAGTCAGCAGCAGCAGATGGGAAGTTAGTGTTCAAAAGCTACTCTTTTGCATTCTGGTGTATTTTCAGTAGGCTTTTCCAAATTGCAGTTATAAATGGGTAACGGTGACCGATCATCATGTTACTCGTCATTATTCTCTTAGTTAAGCACTTCTATGAAATATTACCTGCATTTTCAGAAGTCTTGCGTTGTGCCTGTGCCTCTATGATAAAGGATATGTCTGGGAAAGGTATTTCTTCCACTCTGCATGTGTTTGAATCTCGTCTTAGTTTTGCTCACAGGCACGTCATATCGTGCTCCCCTGCCAAAGTTCACAAGTGATGCCCTTTTAGGAATCATGTTCCTTCTATATACGTCCTGTTTTGTGCTCATGTGTCTTATTATATGCTGTCATCATGCTAGAGCAGCTGGTTTTTCTTCATGCAAATACTTTTCAGAAACAAATCATGTCTGACAAATCTGGCAAGGGATAGCATTTACTTAATTAGCAGGATGCACTTGAAAACAGTTATTCTGCCTCGAGATTTTGCATTATGGTCAGAGTCAAAATCTTGTATTGAGATTTTCATCTTTGGAACTGTACCTCTTTTTTTTTTGTAGTGCATATCTCTAGGCAAGTGCCAAACATTGATTCTTGTGCCAGACCTTCTGTCTGGGTGGATTGTTCTTGGAGCATGGCCAAACATCTCCTCTTTTGGAGGAAGGCCTCGGAAAAAAAAAATGAACCAGTCCCTTGACCATAAATCAGAACTTGCTGGGGAGGGAACTGCAAGAACAAGCAGCCCTTGCTTCATTTGGAGGCAGAGGGAGAAGGTTGGTCATTAAAAATGGGGGTGGCAGTTAAACAGGGAAGGAGATGGGCTACATCCCAACTCAGATCAGTGCCAAATGTGATGAGCAGACAGTCTGAGTAGTGGCAGTCCTTTGATATATCAGCTTTTCAGGGCTCACTGCGACCCAAGGCTGCACAGGAGGTAGGAGTGGGTTACAGGGTGTGCAAAAGAGACTGGAAAGCAGCGTCACTGTTTCCTCAGAGAGAGCAGCAGATATTTCCAAGCCAGGGAAATCCTGTCCCTTGATAAAAATGCCCTTTTGGTGGATCTGCTCTAGAGATGTAGGGAGAAATGTGGAAACTCATGTGTTACCTGTGTCTTATATAGAGGCAAGTGGCACTTTTCACTTTTTTTCTGTTTTGTTTTTCACACTCTCTGCCTGTGACTGTTGGCATCATCTGCTTTTCAAAACACTGGCCAGTTACCTTTGCTTTGGAAATCACACTGCCAGTCCTTGTGATGTGATTTCCACAAAGCAAACATTGGAATGGGAACTTATTTTCACCAGCTTTTGAGAGTTTCCCTGTTGTGTTTGATGTGGAAATAGAAGCCTGTCCTTTGCTGTCATTGAAGTAGGTCCCAAGGGCAGAATAGGGAAGATGTAGCTGGAGTTAAAATCAAACATCTTTGAAATTGCTTTGGGTAACTAGGAAATGGTGTGTGTAGGATGCAAGAGTAATGGCAAAGTTAATATAACTGGGATCAATCTTACACTGTGTGCAAGCATAGCTCACTGGCAAGTGAGTTRTTTCAAGTGACTCGAAGGCTGCTTTGAGTTGAGAGAGAGAGGGATTATGAGAAACATTTCATTAAACAGGAGAGCCTGATTCACAACCCCTCCTTATCTGAAAGTTAAGGGAAGAACAAAAGAAAATCAAACTGAGAGCACTATTCCAGAAAGTGTCTGAGGTTTCTGTTCTCTTCTGATAAACGAGCCAATTCTGTTTGTCCTTAACCACCTTCTTCCTGCACTTGCTGAGAGGAGAAGCTGAGACTCCATCCGCTTCTGTGAGCACAGGAAACTTGGCTTTCGACATGAAGGAAAAGATGCGGTAGGGAAAATTGAACCTGGGAGAACACGGGAGAGCTCTATCACTGGAGCATTTTAAAAGCAGGTTAGATAAAGCTGTCAAGAATGCAATGCAGAGGCAAAATCATTAACCTGAACTATTTTTTCTGTAATTCTTTGGCTTTAAAAGTGCTGCTTGGGGGCATGTTGCTGTATGACTTTTCAGGTCTGTTTCATTTGATTTGTAGACTTTTTTTGTTCGCTTCCTCGCTTCCCCTGGTTTTATTTGGTAAGTAGTGTAATTACTAACATTAGGGCAGATTTACCTCGAAAAGTATACACTTGGCTCCCAAAGGAGAGTCATCTGATGCTGTCATCAAGTGAAATTGGGTCTGTGATACTCTCTGAATGAGCAGGATATGCAGGCTAAGTGAAGCAGCACGAACCTGTGCTTTCCTCCCAAGCAGTGGATGGGAATGG